GGCAGCCGTGAAGCGTCGCTCTCCTTTTTTCGCCGCTCTTTTTTTATTACTCATTTACGGGTTCGCGCAATTAAATTTTAATAATAATTAACGCCGTGGGCGCGAAATTAAATTTTGCTCTCTTTCATCGACTTCTTTTCCTTAATGAAGCCGCCCCATTTTGGGATAATTGCACGCGGACTGCACTAATGAGCGCGCAGCTTTCCCGAGGGTCGCTGGTTCGGTTCCCAGGAGCGCGTCTTGTAATTCCTGACAATTATAATTATGCGCCAGCCACGCCTGGCACTGCACGCAAATTGCTCAGGTGCGTGCTTTTGCACACTTGACGGTGCAATTAAGCCGCATTCTCCTCAACATTCTGCTCCTGAATGCGGCCCATACCAATATTTGAGATCAATTCATTATTTAGCAAAAAGGTTTCCAAGTATAAGGATCTTATAGATTTTAGATTTTTTTTAAATTACGGGCAAAATTGACCCACTTAAAACCATACCTTTTTTAACTGCAGATTCCCCCCTCCTTTGGTACACCAAATTTTGCAAAATTTTGAATATAACACCAATAAATTTGGATAATATATAATAATTAAATGATTAAAATTCTCTGTAACTGCCGGTTTTCTATCTGCAAAGAAAATAATCTTTTAAAAGAGGAAACATAAATAGAACCCACGCGGTTTTCCTATTTAGAAGGAAGTATAGATAAGGCCGCAAAAGTTATCAGAACCAATTAGTAACCCGATTATATAGGGAGGCCGTATAAACTATATTGGACAAAAATATTAATCAAACACTGCATGGCAGTATTTCGAGAGGAAAAACGGGCTCCGATTAAATTAGGGAAAAACGTTAGAGTAGGAAGATGTTTTCCTCACTCGCGGTTCACTTTTGGTCGCGGGGCACACAGAAGTGCGGTTGTGTTTCGTTTGTTATTTTTAAATATAGCGACACAAATTAGAACTTCCTTCTAATAATGAGAGGGCCGCGCTCATTAAATTTAACTTTGGAATAAACAAATTCACAGAAAAGAAGAAGTGGTTCGTTATGTGAATGTCTTATTGGAGGAATCAAGAAGTGCCGCAAAGCAAACACGCGACATCCTGCGCCACTCTTAATTAATATATGAACGTTTTGAATATATTTAAAAATAGGCTCTGCTTATAATACGTGCGGGCTAATTAATTGTGCAAAAAGTGTAGTATAGCATGTTTTATTTTCTTCAAAAGAAGAGGAGTAAAAATTTTGTTAGCTTTTTTTCCAAGCTTTAAAAAATTTTTTTTAAAGGTAATGTAAAATTGCAGTTTTTGAATGGCAGCTGGTTCTAAATTCTGAATTACTCGGTCGTTGGAGCAAATAAATTAATATTTTGCGATGTGCGGTTGGGCCGCGGTCAGATGGTTTGGCGGCACTAGCCGAGTGGAACACAACTAGTTGGCCTCCACACGTTAATTCTCCCCCGACGAGATCTCGGCGGCGGATAAAAAATTTAATACAAGTACGCCTTACGTACTCATTTGGCCGCCCCTCCACTCGACTCCCACTCGTCCACCTCGTCGGTCGCCATACCTACCGAGTCAGTCGATAAAATTTGCGTTTCACTTAATAAAAGTGTTTAGGAGGAACTAACGAAGAATAGGGTTGTTGTTTTGAGTCGTCCGAGCAGAGCAGATTCTTATCTTTTTCGCACACTACTTTTTTTTACGACGCAACTAACAAACTCCTGCTAATTTTATGATCCGACCTGCAATGAAATTGATTTTTAATTGCTTGACGTGCAAAAACGTGCAGTTTTTCCAGACGTAAAATATAAGCATTTTTTATTTGCAATGGTTGGTGTTTTACAAGAAATAATGCAAATAAAAATGGTTGGTACTTTATGCTAAATAAATTCCTTAAATTGTGATTGATTTGATAAAATTGAAACCCCTTCTTTGACAAAATTGATCTAAAATTCACGTGAGTGGAATGAATTTTGTGTGTCACAAGCGAGCAAACAAATAAGTTAATAAAAAGACAATTGCGAATGGCGGCATTAGAGAGGCGGGTGGGCCCTTATTGGTATGGTAAACACGTAAAGAATTCGACTGCGATGTTTATTGCTTTTTATCGTCGCGCCGCGCGCGCATTGATGATATTGAAAATGCAATATCTGACCTAATATATCTGCCAGCGGCACGGCTCCGGCACAATAAGGAGGAATTGTTCTCTCTTGTCGTTTTAATATATCCCCTACACACATACTCACTCACTATACTCCACACAACATATTGCTCTGCCGAGGCGCGCAAACTGAGAGAGCCGAAAAAAGGCAATTTGAGGGAGAGAGAAAGAGTCAAGCTCCCCGTGTCGCCAACGTTTCCCACCTGGAAAATTCCTTTGCACTTCCGCAAAATTTGAAAATTCGTTTTATTTCACACAAAAAAATTTTGCAGAGCATTTGCCTTACTTTTAACCTCTGAATTGATTTTTTATTATACTTTTTATCAAGTGTTGATTATTTTTCATAAAAAATTAATTAGCAATATATGAACATTTTCATATTCTTGAGGTGGATCGAAATCTGGAAACTTAAAATCGGGCTGAAGGGTTACAAACAGTTTTTTTAACCTCAGACCAAAAATGTATTTGCAAAAAAAAAACATTAAAATATTTTCATGTTCTGAATTCTGAATATGTTAAATCTCGTAATCATGAAAAACAAAATCTTGGCCTTGACCAACAATATAAAATCAGTATATTTACAGTATATTTACACGTGAAATATAACTTTTGGTTCCGAAATTTCTCAAAATCAATTCGATACTCCACTGATTCAAACCCTTAATAGTTGAATAAGACAAATTTGTAATTAATTTTCTTATTTTTAAACCAGGGCAATTGACAAATAGGCCTTTGTTTACGCAGTGGTTGTCGGTGTCTGGCTGTTTTTACTTATCAGTTATCACTTTTGGCTAATTGTGGCCTATTCCTCCGTGATAAGCCACTCACGCAGCACGAGTTTTTCTTCCAAAATCACTCCACGCAATATTTCATTTCGCAAACAATTCTCGCGACACCAGCCGAGCCAAAGATAAAATAACGCACAAAAAACAACGAGTGTGTAAAAATAGCTTGGCCAGCAGAAATGGCAGTAAAAAGCCACTTTGGTGGTGCGAGTGTATATTAGTACGGTGACGCAATGGCTCGAGATAAGCGCCGAGAAAAAGTAATCAAAGGAAGTAATTAGTTTGGTTGTTTATTCCTCTGTATCTCGCACACTCACAGCGCGCAGGCGGACCGACCGAGATGAAGTAGGGAACTTAATTAACTCAAAATAATAAGAACTTTATCTGCAGAGATGAGAAACACACAGCCTCTCTCTCGCGCGCACTGCGCGCATTGAGTGAGTGTAATTGAAAAATAAATTAGCCTCCTTAATTAGTTTAATTATGCAAACGATAATGTATTAGCTCTCGGGGTCTCCAATTTTAATTCCAAGACTCGCAGGGCGCCGCACAAGTAGCGAAACTATACACGCGGGCTAATGGTCTCTTTTAATTTTCAACACGCACGCTTTGTGTTAATTATTAGTATTGCCGCGAGAGCCCCCTGTAATGCGGGCTTGGAGAGGGGATTCAGCCACATCAAGACTTTTGGTTAAAAAAAAAATACAAAAAATGCAAAAAAAAGCTAAATTAAAAAAATTTAAAAATGAGGGAAAAAATTATTGTTTTACTAATTTGTGCATTTAAACGCTAAAATACTTTCCTATCAACTTGATAAAATATTTTCATTTAACACAAATAAATGAGGAACACTTTGATACAATAGAATTGTAATAAAAGCTTTGGGAAAATTGAGGTTTAAATAAAGTATTTGGCTGTTATGAGGATAATAAATAATAATCTCTTATTGGTTGCGTGCATCTCCTACAAAGGCTAAATTGGCTTAATCCTTGTTTTTCTCTATTTGCTGCTCAATTAAGTATAAATAATATTTGAATTTCTTCTTTCCTGCCATAACTTTTGAAACTATAATGTTCAAATTGCATTGGAGTGACTTTAACACTCAATAATAATAATAAAAATGATTATTTTAACTCTTGACAGTGGCCATAAAGAAGGTCTCGTTTATGCCCTTGCTCCTCTGCGCAAGGCAGGCTGTCAATATACTGGTCAGTCCGGTCTGTTCGGTTTGGCCGAGGTCACGGGGTCACTGCAACGCCCACCCCTTGGAAGCCTTCATTGCGAGACGCTCATTATAAATGATTTCAAACTCATTTGCGCCGCTAATTTAGACTGGGCGGCAAAAAAATTTAATGAAAACACCGTCGTCAGTAAAAATAGTTTCTGTCTTCACACACAAAAAAAAAAAATAATAATAAATTTTCCTTTCTCGTCAAATTACGTATGTGAAAATTCAAGTTTTTTCCACTCGGCGGACCATGACCTTTTCAACAACTTGTCAACAGCTTTCTTACGCACCAAGAACAAAACAACACGCCGCGGTGTAAAACGATATATGTGAATTATTTTATTGCTATTATTGGTCAGCCGCAAACCGCAAGCCGAATGAAAAAAACGCGACAGCGCACGTCAAACGACATTTATATATTTTCTCTCACTCTGTCGGAACGGCCGATAATCGCATATTTACGGGCGGCCAAAGTGGCTTTTGATTGCCGATTTTATATACTTGTGACACAAGACTCTCCATTCAATCTCGCGCGAATAAGTTCTAATGGATACAATACGGCCCACTTCATCACATCAACGACAATTACACGCCAAACAAAAACAATAGGCGACGGATCTTATCTACGAGTGCTGCCGCGACGGCCCCGAGTAATTTATGTTGTAATTTTTTTCAAGCAAATTTTCTGCAGGCAGTGTTTCTTTCTGCCACAGCTGCCATTTTGCAAACTTAAAATTCTTTCCAAAATTAGTGTAAAACAGAAAATAAGTTGCATAATTTTTTTGATTTCCTGGAATTTTGTTGGTGAAGGAGTGAAATTTTACTTACCTATGGGAAAATCAGGCTGGGCAGCCGCCGACTTTGCTTATCATCACTCCTGCAACATAATTTAAAAAAACAATGAGACTCAAAATTAGGAAAATAAAACACAATAATATTGATTAAAAAAAATATCATTTGAAAACGTGAAAGCCAAATTAAAAACCCACAAGTTTAATGAAAAAAATAATTATTTCTGATCCAAAACATTTTTTAACTTTTATACAATTCGATTACTGGAAGAAAATTCAATAATTGTTTCAAATTGATGTTAGTGTGCGTGTGTTTTTCTGTTCTAATTAGTGTAGTGTAGCTTCTTTATTTGTGTTGTAAATTGCATAAGTAAATCACACAAAAAATCTCTTCAAACGTATTTGGATGTTGGATGAATAAAAAAATATTATTTATGAAAAATAATGAAAATTTGAATAAAATAAAGAAAGTCATAATAAAACATAAAATTCATTAAAAAAAGGTTCAAAATTATCTTAGTTTGGGTTAAAATTTCATTCTTGAGTTGATTATAGAAAATATTTTTATAAATTGTAAAAAAGCAATGGATCTCGTCCCTCAATCATGCTCAAAATTTCCTAGAATAAACAAACTTTTAGATGGTCTATGTTTTTTGATAAAATAACGAGACGGAATTTCCAGAGAGAAAGGAATTAAGAAAGGCCGCTTATTACTTATTCAGAAAACATACGCACGCGAGATTCGCGTGAGATACGGAATCGCGCAATGTGTCACTTTCCGAAGGCAAGAGATGCGCGAGATATAAATTCGGGCCAACGGCCGTTCGAGATGGAATGCCGTTTGATATACCTGATGGACCATCCCAATTTAACAGGCGCACAATTTATGGCCGCGCCGCAGCTGAAATGACGTTTTTATTAATTTGTGGGCTGGCGTGCGCGCGCGATAAATGACAAGAAAATTAAAAATGAGCGACATCAAGGCTCGATCGAACTGCCAACCATTCCCTCCACGTGACAAAATGAAAAAGCGAAAAGGGGACACTGTCAAGGCAGGCAGACTGCTCGACGCGAGCTGCAAATGTTTTTGTAATTTTTTTTATTTATAAAACATCTTTTGAAAGTTCATTTGGTTGTAAAATTGGTGTAGTATAAAAATAAAATAGAAAATTTCAACTGAAGAAAATATATTTTTCTTTTTTTATCAGAAACCTGTTTGCGTTTTGTTAAAAAATAATGTTTAAACTTCAAATCATGTCTCGCTGGCAATCATATCGCAATTACCATCTTGATAGAGAGGGTCGAAGGGCACTCTGGGTTTTTTTATTCCCACAGCAATTCGTGCGCCAATCGGATCGATTAAAATGCTACTCTTGATACAAAAGTCGAGTGCAGCCGCGCTAATGGGGCGTAAGTGAAGTTCTCACCTGAGGCTAGACTTGGCGCAAGAGTCAATGACCTCGCGAGTTTGCAAGTTGGATTTATATATTTGTGCGGTTGGCAACCTGTTTGTGCTGCGCGGCCCTTTTCGGCTGAATTTCTTCTGCTTTTGTGATTCGGGGACGAAAATCTCGTTGGTCACCCAGGCCAACGGAGGGATCGGGTTCGGACCGCAATTTTAGACCAGACCTGGCCTCTCTCTCTGTCTGTCTCGACCGCGATTATTCACACTTGGCCTGTTTCAAATAATAAAAAAAATATATATAATAATACTTTTTTGGTGCAGAGCTTTGTTCTTTTGGTAGACTAAATCACATTTATTCCTAAAAATTTATTTTAACGAATGTAAACAAGGCAACCACTACCGATATCGAGATTCATAATTTCAAATATTTAAAAAAAAAGTGGTTAAAAATAATCCCTGTTACTGAATATGAAAAAAAATTGCACAAAAAACCATTCCTGATTTAAATAAAAAAAAAAAAATGATTACAAAATTTCCTGTTTTTTTCATTTAACAATGATTTTTTTCACGTACTTGTTATACTTGAATTTGTGCGAGGGCGAGTCAACAAGATCAATTTTTATTTGATTACACTTTCCCGTCTTGGCGAATTGTGGGCGAGCGTCTTTTTTATTCACTCTTTTCTAGGGCAGAGAAACATTATCGGGCGGTCACGTGTGGTTTTTTGTTCCTCTGGGATGACCGGCGGAGGCTTTGCCGCACATTAGTCGTGGATAGTAGAAGAAGACGTCTTTCTGCCGATTGAAACGCGGCACGTACGTCGGGCGCAGTGACTCATCAAATAATGCACTGCCCACAAAGAGCGAACAGACAAACTCTTTTAGGGCCGCATGTTTGCTCCTTAATTTTTCCCAGAACTATTAGCCAGACGTGCAGGAGAATCATTATTTGTTTGCGCACCTGTTTCACATTTACTTGGAGCTCAACTAAATAAATTTCAGTCTTATTGCTTTTGTTTAAAGACCCTGTCCCCACAATTTTTATAGCTTCAGAGAGAACGTAAAATTTAGAGTATAGGACTTGCAAATATGTAACTGAAAACTAGTTCCCCTGTATGTATCAGAATGAGCAAAAATTTTTAAAAGTTGGAAACAAATTGGACAAATTATTTTAAGCAAACGATGATTGGTGGTGCTAAATTCGCTCACAACCACGATCGCAGCGCCGCCAGTAGTCGTTTGCATAAATTACTTGAAGAGTCCACCCAAAGTTCAGAAATCAATTAGGTAGGTTTATCGTTTTTCAGTTATCTCAAAATCAATATTTCATTTAGCATTCTATTATGTTTAAAGAACAAATAATTTGATATTTTTCAAATTTGACCCCTTTTAATTTCCTGTAAATCAATCTACGCGTTTAATTTTGTGGATGAATAGTTAGTTTGAATATTTCCCAAAGCCCGCATTTACACTGAAGCTAATTTCCACGCAAATAACCGACTTGTCAATTGAATTTCAAACACAATTTGATGCGCTCAAACGCCATTAATTAGCATCAAAGCGTCTCTCTATCTCTCTCGCCTTGTTTGGGGCGGAAATTAACTCGCCCTGAATTGATCGAAACGCGACTCTTTTTTTTATTATTTATTAAAACGGGGCTGATACGACTTTGATTCGGTCGCGTTAATGTTGTTGCCGGTGGAAAATGAAAAAGGAAATTGCGTGTTGTATAAGTGCAAGGTAATGGCATACGAGAGAGAGATGGTGGCGGCACCGCCAGAAATGAGAGTGGGGCGTTGCGGGGTGGGTTATTAATTAACCAAAAGCCTAATCAAGGTTCGCCCGCCCGCCCGCCATACCAACAGATGCCTAAAGGGAAACGCGGCGGAGAGAACCAACTGCGCCCCGCCAGGGGTGGCTGTGGGAAAATTGCAACCGAGTAGGCCGCAACCGCCTCAAAAACGGGCCTTCAACTTTTTAATATCAAGTGAAAAAAAATGGTTACATTAAAATGCAAAATAGAGTGGAAAATACATTAGTATTAAATTAAGTTCACTATTAACTTGGTTAACGCAATAAAATATGTAAAAAACTTCAATTAAACTCCAGATTTTAACCAATTAAAAACCTCAAAACTTATGTAATTATTGTAATGTAACTAAATGAAATTATTTTTAAACTTTAAAATTACTTTTATTTGCAATACTAGAAATAATGTAACAATGTATGAAACATGAAACATAAATCAATATTTACTGATGTATTTGAAAAATTGCTTTTGGAAATATGCTCTATTTTCTTAAATTGATATCCATATATAAAAAATTTTAATTTTTTCATTGAATTATTTATTTCCAATATTATCAGCAATCTTTAAATTCAAATATAGTAATTTAGAATTGAAGGATTAAGTATTTTGCTGTCGGACCCTTTTTCCAGACGGTCTGGAACGAGGAGAGACCGTCGTCGTATACTTTTCATTGTTCCCTTGGGAGCAGCACACAGATGAGTGCAGCCTGCTGCGCTGCACTACCCGCCTAGCTCTCTATTAGTCTCGAATCGTTGGTTCCTTTTCCTTCCTTCTTTATCTCTGCCGACTTTCATTCATAAATCTCAAATCATCTGTGTCTCCTCACTTCGTTCAGTCTCCAAATTCCAAAGCAGAGGAAGGAAGAAGCTTGACCCCACAGCTTCCGGTTCGCGCGCGGCTGGGAAAAGTGCAACAAATTATGTACCTCGCAGGCCCTCTGGTGACCGATAAAAATTTAATTTCCGCAAAACACGCCGAGCGGTGCTGGCGGATAGGAATTTTCATTAAGGCTTGAGAAATATGGCCGCGCTGATCGGCGGCTGCTACTTGGAATTCTGCTGGTTGTTTCGAGAAAGGTTTCTTGTGAAATTTCATACAAATTGATTCTTTAATTTCTAAATAAATGATCATAATTGCAGCAAAAGAAATGTACCTACATTTTTAGCTTTGAGAATAATCTGGTCAAAAGTTTGTTTTTGCCGCAGCGGAATTTCGCCCGAAAATAACAATAATTCGCAAGTGCGAAAGCGAATGGTCTGCAGAGCAGCGAAATCGTTTCATTGCGAATTCTGGCAGCGGCAATTTCTGCGCTTGTCTCGGAATTTCAGAGCAAACCCCAAACGATTCTCTCGATTTGCAGCAACAATTAAAATTCCCGATCCGAATGAGATCTCGTTATGCACGCACGAGAAATTGTAGCAAAATAAGCAGAGCGGTCCGGCAGTTTTCTATATAGATCTGCCGGTAATAAAATTCCAATAAACTCAGTGGGCATGCAGCACATACATGAGTTGCTCCGTCTGTTGCTGCAGTGGCCGAAACGAAATTGAACTCGGCAGCTAGCGAGGAGAAAGAAGAGGAAAAAAAGGAAAAACAGGCAACATTGAAATTCAGAAGAAGCAGCTCTCTTTCGCGTGCGGCGCAAAACGAGAGGAATTTTCCATATAGCGCGGGCAGCTCGGACGGACCAAGCCAAAGTGGCGGCACTGCTTTTTGCAATAATATTCGTACATATTACATGTGTTGTCTGTCTTGCGTCGACGAAGGACCCCTCCACATTCAGCCCCCTTTTCATAATAATATGAGAGAGAGAGAAAGAGCGCTGGACTCTCTACATATGTAAGTACATGGGAGGGCGAGCATTCCTAGACAATTGCAATATGAAAACCACTTTGTGATATTGCTCGGCCGTGCCTCTCTTTCTTTCTTTCTCTCTTCCGCTTTTTATATTATTACTCGAAATATCTAATATTAATATGGCAGAGTGGGTGCATTAGGGAAATTATTCCGAGTGCCACGCCCCCGTGCCACCGCCGCGAGACCTCAATTACCAAAATTAATTTGCCTTTGCACACACCAATTTAATTAGCAACTTTGCCATTACGAATTGACGAGACGAGAAGAAGTTTCGATCTTTCCTCCCACTCACCCCAACTTTCTCAAGATTTGACTTTTGATTTAAAATATATAAAAATTGATTTTCTTTGAACAAAGAAAAGAGGATCATTTGAAAGTGAAATGAGTGCTGTTCTAATTTTTGGCGTACATTATATTGATGCCATCAATTATGGGTATGAATATCCCCTTACAATACTGATTTTCGTTTTGGTACAGCAACTTGGTTAGAAAATTTTTTATACTAATTTTTCTTCTTCTCTCTCACTAATTTAAACTTAAAGATACAAATTTTTTTATGAATTTATATTTTGACCGAGCTTCTGCAATCAATTAAGAAACTTCTGATGAAATAAATAATGACTAATAATAATTTCTGGATTTTAGAAATAATAAATAAGGATTATCTGCATAACCTAATTAAAAACTCGAATCACATTGATTGTTCTTTCTACTGTGCCCTGCAGCTCATAATTTATTTCCTATCGCAAAATATGTAGCTGCAGACACGAGAGAGAGAGTCTCTTTGCTCTCTCTCACACTCATACTCGCCGGCGTGAATTATTTAAAAGCAATTTTCCATCCACAGGGGGCGCATGATAAAATAATAGACGCTGCATTCATTATGAAGGAGCAGCGCTGGTCGCCGTGAATTAATGATGAAGGCATACTGCGGAATCAAACATAATCAAATATCCCCGCACCACCGATTGCAACCCTTTCACTACACCAAATCCCAGCGGAATCGCGCAGTAATTGGAAAAAGGAAAGGGTCAACGAAATAATGCTAAGAGTTGAATGTTAAATTTCAATTTCATAGCTTTGATACATTTTAGTCTGAAACGTTTTCTAACAAATAGGTTCAATTTATTCTGGAGATGTAGAAAAAAATAATATTGCAGAAAAGTATATCTTAACTTATTCAACATTTTTTTTTTATCAGATGAATTGACTTGTGTTGAAAATTAACAAAACAAATATAAATTATTTAAACACATTTTTTGGTTAGCTCTGGCCCAATTTTCATTTGCTGCTTAAATATGCAATCCTATCACGAATAATTTACTGAGCGTGCAAAACAGTGCAAAGCAGTTTTGTACCTTTCCTTAACTCGCGTGGTTAGGTGCAATGACCGTTGCAGACGTACATTTCAAGTGATGCATGCAATTAATTCTAATTAAGCTTCACTTGTTGTCGATCCGAGAGCTGCTGCAACTTTCGTGACGGTGGCGAATCCGAGTGCTTATTCCCATTTTTTGCACTGCCATACTGACGGACGTAATGAATCGCGAAGCTTGCTTTCTATTAATTAAACCAAGATGGAATGTTCACAAGCTTCGCATTACAACAGCGGCTTTTTATTTTATTTTTGAACATTTTTTCGCGTTAATTAAGCGCGGCGCAATTAATGAGCTTTATTTGTGAACGTGCAGCGGTAATTAAGCAGCTGCGGTTAGTTGGTCGTCATGTCACGGCGCGCATTGATTGACACTCGCCGCCATTTATTTCCGATAAATAAATGTCCTTTGTGCGGCGGTGGCGGCGACTTGTGCCGCTGTGGTAATTCGAGCTGTGTCGATTTTTAAGTGCCGGCTCTCGTGGAATTAATTTTGACGCCCGGCTTTCAATTAGGGTGGGTGGCAAGGAGGACGGCGGGGGGCATTATAATTGACACTTCGCGTATATGCGCGCTCCATTCATTTTTAAGTGGTTGCAGCAGAGCCGCGTTTGCGCCTCCAATGGAGGCAATTATGTTGCGCAATTATATTTCACGCAAGTGGCGATGATGCTTTTAGGATAATTGCTTTCATTTTCTGTTTTAATTGGGGAAAAGTAGAGACAATTTTACCATTCTAACGTATTTTATTTAACGCAGAATCGAAACATTTATAATTTTTTATTTGAAAAAAAAATGCTGGGGCGAGATTTATACAAATTTAAGTGGTAGGGCAATGATTTGAGCCAATGATAAATCACCGATTTCTCAAGAAGATTGTTAGTAACTTAAGATTTTTGACCACAAATCGATAAAAATTTTAGATTTGTTTATAAAGAGAAGAATTAATTATAAATTGTCAAATTTATAATGAGTTTTCACATATAAAATTTATCTGAACTTAGTGTAAAAAGTGAAGCCAAAAAATTGCATAAATTAGAATTAAACACATTTTCCAGGCCGAATTAATGCGTGTCTCGCGAGAATCAAAATCCAATTTGGAAGTTGCCGATTTGCCGGTGGTGGAATTCATTGTGACAGCCGGCGGCTTATCTGCACTCACCCTGTGCCTGTGCAGCGCCGGGGAGCGCAAATAATAACACAATTATTGGGCTGCGTGCTGATTAGGCTCCAATTGAGCATGGTTGGCGGCGCCCGTGAGCCCCTCAGCGCCACCAGGGGGGTTGGGGATTAGCATGTGGCACATGCGAGCGCCTGATAGCCGCTCCCAAGGGTGCCTGCCCTTCCATTTGTCGCGCGCCGGCTCAAATAATCGCACCCAAACACTCGTCCGACTTGCGGCCGGCCGGCCAACAATTGCTCAACCACCACTTTTCCAAACTCTTTCACCGAATTATCAGACAGAAAGCAGCAGCTCACAGCTTTGTTTCCTGCTTTTTGAAAGGGAAAACTGTTGCTAAAAGACTGAATAAAATTTAAAAAATAAAATAAAAATCTTACCGAATTTCTTCAAATATTGAAAAAACCTTAAATCAATTGGTTCGTGAACAACTTTCCAATCTTTTCATTAAAAAAAGCCTATTAAATTTCCAATCTAACTCACCACCAAAGGAATCTTTCATCAAGCGAAGTGATTTAATGAAGTAACCCCTCTCTCAGGAAAGGAAAACGAACCTGGAACAAAATTAGACGGATGTTTAATAACCTTGCTCATTGATACATCTGTCTATTTCCAAATTATGCAATCAACTTTTTGATGAGTTCGTCCTTCCAATTAAAATAAAACTTTTAATCAAATCCCTCTAGCTTGCGCGCTCCGTAATAGAAATTTTCAATTAATCCGTCGCCACAGGTGTGGTTCCCAAATTAAAATTTCCTCCACCACGTCACACACACAAGCGAGAGCAGGTCGAACATAAAAATAAATGTGCAGCACCCGAAATCCAATATCCGAATTTTACGAGGGCGAGCCAATTAACGCAAGCAAGGGGCGCTCTTGCGATTAATGATGTTAATTATATGAAAAAGGTTGTTGTTGTTGTATTCATTTATGAGCGGAATGAACACGCCAAATTTAATTAACTTTCAATGCGCGATACAAATCTCAATTTACAAAAAGAAAGAGCAGGATTGACAGTGACTGATTTTGGCCTCAATTTATTAGATGCCCCTGCGGCTGATTGAATTTTTCCTCCCCTGGTTTTAATTACCTTAGTTTTTCACAGAAACATTTTCATCTTTGTAAATAAAAAAATTACTTTAATACGTAGTTAAACACATTTAAGGTCACATCGTGATAAGTCTTGATAAGTTTCAAGTGTGACAATTCACTGCTATTAAGTGTCACGAGAGAGAGAAGGTCAAAGTGCCGCTGCTCTTCGATTTATCAGGCCGGTCGAGCGCCTCCCGCATGCAGCGAAATAATATTGAATAAATACATAGTAGCTCTCAATGAGGGCAAGTGCGCGATAAAATAATGTATACCCGCGGCATAATAAACCGACGCGCCATGTTTCATTCGATTGTATTTTTTCAATTTTATCTCTCGCACGCCCCAATAGTTAGTCATTTTTACTCTCCTGCCAAGCAATGGTCGCGCGCAATTAACCAACTTCCTGCTCTGGCTGCTGGCCGAGATAGCGAGCGCGAAAATGAAAAATTGGCGACCCAGATAACACCTAATGAGCGACACAAAATCGAAATGGAAAAATATTAATTAAACGAAACGAGTTTGCGGCGGTTTTGTATAGAAATAGATACAAAGTTTATAAGTATAGGAAGCTGTCAACATTAATGTTGGGGGGACAAAAAACTTGTTAGAAATTTTGGATATTTAAACTTTGTGAACCCTTGTAAATAATAGCTTCAAATAAAAGTTTGCTCAAATTAATTTAATTTCAATTTTAATGAACAAAAGAAAAATTTTTTTTCAACAAAACTAAATTATAATCCTCAAAATTGTTATATATGATTTGAATCAGATTTGAATATTAAAATGGTCTTACATTCAAATTTAAAACGTTAAAATCAATATCATTGATGCTTTCAAAAATAAAAAATAGTTTTAACATTAAATCAACTAAATGTAGATTCATTTTTTATAGATCATTATCATTAGAAACATTGTTTTGTCAATGGTGCATTTCTTTTGAATTAGATGATATAAGTTTAAGCAAAGAAATGAAAATTAATTTAATTCTTTTTAATTGAATCATTTGAAAATTTTAATTTTATTAAAATAAAATAATAATTTAAAGAAATCATCAAATTAGAAATAAGATGATTTTCATCACATTTGTTTTTTACTAGAAATTGAACAGCACACCGGAAGTAACTCAATTTTCCGACAGGGTCCCCTGCCCACGTTTGGAAATCCCGAGCGGTGCAATATCGCATCCCAGAGAGCCTATTTATTTATCTGTATATAGAAAAGAGCGCACTCAGCAGCGCACTGCCAAGAGATTCGGCGAATATATATTGCTTTAATTTATCGCAGGCCGGTTGGTCTCTCTGCAGAGTGAGTGTAATATCGATCATTGAGAGAGTGAGCAATTCTAATAAAGGTTTTATATGGCCGTACACACATCTCTGGGCTGCTGCTGGGCGGAGAGGGGAATTGCATTTATAAGAGAGCGATCTTTAGACGCTGTCTGTCTCCCTCGAGCTCGGCGTTTAATACTTTTCAATATTGAATTCCACGCCTCATCACCCGCGGCTCCTCTTTCATCAATAATTTTCGCATCTTATTGAATTTCATCCTCACTTACCCTTTCCTCCGCTCCACTCTCTGAGAGCCACGCGAACGATAAAATTTGTCGTCAATGCTTTTCAATCTCGGCGCCGCTGCTTTAATGCGCGTTATTTGCACGCCTATTTATTTGTTTAGCAATTCCTCTCTCGCTCTCCCATCCTCGCCCACATTGATTGCTTTCGGCGTAATCGAGAGACCCACGATGAAACGCTAGCATTGATTTTATATAAAGCGTATACAACTCAAGTCCAAAGTTCCTTGACTTCATTTTAACTCTGTTTAAATTTTCAATAATTTTGTTCGACTTTTAATCAAAGCAAATTAAATTTCTCATATAATACCGCAAACTAAATTAATTTGCATATTAATTAATTCATTTTATTGAATAAAACTTTAGTTTCAATTGTTTTATTTCAGCTTAAGACAATTTTGAACCTCATTGATTGTATTTTACCTATTTACAATGTACACTTTCATGCATGATTGAATATTCAAAAAAATCAAGAGGCCGTCGAAGGCGAACGAGAGGCGCTTATGGCCGTGCGTGTCTCTGTCGTTAGTGCCCGCGATAAGATAAATTTATGCCAACCTTCGAAGTGCTGCAATTATCTGTGTAATTATTCCGAGTGACGGCCGTAAAAATCCCATCGCGTATACACACTGATAAGAAGTGATAATTTTGTCGCCTCTCAGCTCGGCCACTTCATGAATCACTCCTTTCCTTGATATTTGCAATTCATCTGCGCGATAAAAAGCGAAATTTTAATCCCTCCGAATGGATTTGCTTTCCCATGCACCAAACGAACTCTCTCACATCTGGATGGCATGTGATGCAAAGCAGCGGGAGGCTCCGTTCTGTTTAATGGTCGCGGCCAAATCAAACAGAAATGAGAAGAAGAGCGAAATGAAGAGGTATTTTCAAAAGAAAGGGGCCGCCGAGGCTTTTCATTCGCCGCTTTGTCCTCCGCTGCTTATTATCGTTTCCTCTTTTTTGTGCGGAACAAAACGTTCAAAACAGACGTTTCCTCTTTAGATTGATCAAGAGACACAGATTATTCCCCAAGAAATTACACCTGGATTTATACAAGGGGCGACAATCCGAGTGTTTTGATTATTGAATCAAAAATGACAAAAAATTCTTTTTACTTGATCAATCTTTATTTTAAATCAGTATTAGATACAAAATAAATATTAACAGTTATTTAGTTAGGCAAATATAAATTAAATATCATTAATTTTGTTTAAAAATTGTGAAAATTATGCTCAACTTGCCAACAAAAAATAATGAAGCTTGAAATTTGAATAAGAAAAGATCATTTTAGTCGTTATGACGTAAAAATTCCACTTCAGCTTTTATATTAAAAAGGCCCACTTTCGTCGTTTTGAGGTGGAAAAAAGAAACGGCAGTTGAATGAATTGTATCGAGCGGAGCTAATAAGGGTTGCAGACAATTTGTTGCTCGCAGCAGCGGATCGGGAGTGTATTGATTGACCCGGTGCAGACTCTCCTTCGTTAATTTTTGATCAATTGGTTCCATTCAATTAGGGCTTGAACGCCGGCGAGTTATGGCTGCGCGCAGTCGTCGTCGGAGATTTTATTAATTAAAAGCAGCGCGCAGCCTCTTCTTGCACGGCGGCAACCCTTCTTGTGCTCTCCGTAATTAGCATTGCTTTCAGAGTAAAATAAGCCGCTCTCTCCGTCATGCATGAATACTCATTTAATTAGCTCATTAGTCGGCTAATTGATAAAACAAGGCCCATTGTGTGTTTGTCTGCTGCGGCCGGCCGGCTTTCCAAAAAGCATCAAAACTGGGCAAAAACCGACGGACGGAAAGCAAAACCGAAATGAGCTTATATATGCTCTCATAAATACAAACACAGTCTCTCTCTCCGCACTTTTTGCCCCTGCTTTTTTAATTCAATTCAGGAGCAGCAGATGCTGTCAGTGCTTAATAAGGAATTGCGCACAAAAGAGAGCTAATTACGCGGCATTTGCTAATGATCTTGATATTTCAAACAAAAACAAGCGCGCCTCGTTAATTGTGTGCCCCGCTCTCTGCTCGTTGCCGAGCAGCGTGAGTTGCGGTTTCTTGGAAACGAATATATATGTGTGTGCTCGCCGCGAATGCAAAATAATGAGCTACACTCGCTCCTGCTCATGCTGATGCGCGACCATTCTTCGTTAATGAACGGTCTATTTTTGATTCGGCTGCAAACAGGAACCACACGTTTCCAAATTTATACAATTCCAATTATTCAAAAGTCTGCATTTATTAAAAATTCCTGGCGGAAAGTATTACTAAGTTAGCATCCAATAAGAATTAGAGGATCAGGGTTTGTTGAAACCAATAAAAAACTTTATATATGTTTAATTTGTGTTTCCCCTTTTCACAATAATTTATCAGTTTTGGGTTCACCTTCTCTTTCAGTTAGACTTTGCTATTAATTCCCCAAATTTTTAAACTGCAGCTTCTCCTTGTAATTTTATTTTAGGGTTTAATTAATTTATATAATTTAAAAAATCACCGAGTTAATATTAAATATTGCTAATATTAAATAATACTTGCTATTTTCTTAAGTTGAAAACATTTTTGTGTTTCTTTAACACAGTTTTAAATGAGCACACGAGGAAACTGGAGCTTATATGCCCTATTTTTTGTTCACCTCCTCCAATTTGTCAAGTTGCGCCTGCTCTTGAACAAAAACAAAAAGTGAAAAAGGATCATAGTTTGCAAAATATTTTATTTGGCTTCTGATTATTCGAGCGGTCTCTTTCACTGACAGGCAAAATAGTTTTGGCTCATTTGCATTTGGACAGCTGTGCTTTCCGCTATTAATAAAGCAAGCGCGGCCGGCCGGTGTTTGATGTTTGCCCCAAATTTTTGCGAAGTGAATGATTTACGACGTCATCGACTTTGAGACGTGTTATTATTGTACGCTGGAGGGAGGCGAGGCCAAGCCGTCAATTTTTCAAAATCACCAACCTAACTGACGCCACAGCTGCCTATTTTTTACTCTTATATTTAGAAAGAACTAAGAAGTTGATTTCCAATTCAAAAACGACTTGAATTATTTCCTCCACTTTATTTTTGATGAACAATGTTGTCGCCAACTTGTAAGCTGCACTTAAACTAAATTCAAACAAATCGCCTCAAAGGCTCACACGGCGCTAATTTCCGCCCTCTCTGGAGATAAAAAGCAGTGTTTTTGTCGGCGTTTTAATAATTTATGTAAATAACAACAGCATTATTATTTTTCTACCCGGTGAAAAAAAGAAGAGGGGCTATTTAGGATGCAGTATAAATAAACTATAATGGACTGATTTTAGCACTAGCATGTTACATTAAAGTAAACCGCCACCCGGCCAGAGCAGAGAGGAGCACTCACTCTCATCCCATTTCCATTTTGCTCTAAACAAACCCTCTTAGCCAGGCGGCTGATGGATGTTGCTCCGTTCGTTGCCGCGCGCGCTACAACACTTAAAAATTTTTCTCCTTTCACAAAACCAGAGCCACTTTTTTCGCCGACGACGTCGACGGTAAGATGCTCTTTGAATGAAATACACTTAAATTTGAGAGCCTACTACTACTTTGAGCAGAGAGCAGAGTTGGGGAGCGTGCACGGCTAATGTACGTCTCGCCGAAAAAGCACCCGCGCATCGATCTGTGTGTTCGCGGAAAAAAGAGAACCTTCCACTCGAATTTGCTGCGAAAACACGGCCAGCTCACTGATTTCAGCCAACAGCCTCCTGACTTATTCTTCAAAGAACGCCGAATGAATTTCAAAAACGCAAAGTTATTATACTGCGTCAAACATAAAAAAGAAATACGTTGGAAGATGATTTCCATCACAAGTATTATTGAGTATTGGAATTATAAATTTTTTTAAAAGAGTTAAAGAATGAATGGAAATATCAGCCTTTCAATCAAAAAATTTGTCATTAAGCTTTGTAAATTGGTGCAAGCAACACAAAATTTGCAAAAAGGCTATCTTTTTCAGGCAAAATAACCACAGGAGGAATTCCTATATTTTTATTTATTTTATATACTGTTGTTTATTTGTTCAAATTGTTACATAAAATTGTATACATTCAATTGTTGAAAACAATTTATTTTGCAAAAAGGAATTGTTGGACAAAACGGCATCACCACTATAGCAAGAATTTCGCTGAAAATTCAGAGATCAAAAAGACCCCATCCGCCGAAGTATTTAAATGAGGCATTTTTATTTATATTATATTAATCTGTCTCTAATATTTTGAAAGACAGCTGATTTGAGTTTAAATTAATGCTCTATGTATAATCCGGTATAATCTTTCATAATTTGTAGGTATAGGACGTTTTTACTCAGGTGTTTTCTCGTCAGGCCAAACACATGCCCTATTTAGAGCCGCGATCAGGGCGAGCACCTGCCCGCAGTGAGGCGTCATATTTATATAGTAACACTTTTGGGTTGCATTCAAAGCCGAGTGCCATCCATCAGCGGTGATCAATACGAAATATTCCCGTGCAAGAGTGTGAAAACGAGTTGGCAGCGCAGCACACTTTTGCTTTCACACAAATTTTCGGGAATCAATCATCGCGGTCGGTGACAGCCGCAAAATGGGCCTTTGCAGACGCGGCTCGCGGAAAAAGCGGCCCATTTTCGCGCGCCAATCAAACACCTTTGGCAAAAAAAAATGAATGCCAATTTAAGGCACTTTTTTCATAAAAAAAGTACGAAAAAAATCAGAAGGATAATCAATTTTAGGATAGTGGCCTAGTGGGGGATTTGTTATTAATAGCCAATAAATTCTAGAAAATTTTAAATATTGCCAATTTTTACAAAATTTCTTTTTATTATTTACTAAAAATACATATATAAATTTTTTTTAAAGTGTGGGAAATTTCAGATTTTATTTTTCTCAGAGAAAAAATCTTTCTCTGATCAAAAATAACACGCAGGCCGAAAGACCTTCGATACAAGTCGACGTCATTAATTGCTATAATTTGAGCACAGCCGTGTATTATTCTAATTTTCCCAGCCGTCTCGGATAATTCGGGCCGCGGCCAAGTACAAATTAAGTGTAATTATATCGTGGTCGGCGCCGTTCGGGAGCGCCCAGCTACGAAACAAACTCGTCGATCAAATTTTTTATTCATTTGAAAAGGTTTAATTCGCGGCGTGTTTATTAGCAGGAAATGAATGCTAAAATATTTCGCTGCCTGCAGGTACAAATTTGCATATCCTCTTAGTTGCAACTCGGAAAGGATGATGCTGTTATAAGTACACGGGTAAGGAGAGAATTCCAGCGGTTGTAAAACGACTCGCAAGGGCTGCTCTTGACATGCCACACCGGCGCTCTCTGCGGATCCATAAGAATAATGATATTGAGAATTGTTATTCCTGCGGTTTAATGGTGCTGATAGCAGAAAAAGAGAGGTGTTGAGAGCTCTGGTTCAAATTCATGTCGGCATGAGCTTTTTCTGACGCTTATTGCTTTGGACGTTTGAATTTCAATGGGAGAAGACAGGCTATTTTCAAATGACACATGAAATTATTTATTCTTCCAACTGATTTAATTTTATAATACTTCAATGCTGCAATCCTCATTATATGTTAATAGTTCATTAAAATATGGGGTTTGAAGTATTTTTTTTTAAAGTTGCATTTGAAAATAAAAATTGTTTGAGATAATTATTTTCTCCTAGTTTAAATGTGGTACATAAAACTTATTTTATACAAAAATTACAGCGGATTTAAGCTCATATGACTTGAACAAGTTTTTATTCAAATTAATTTAGTGCAAACGATTCAAAACTTGAATTAAAAATAAATAAGAATTATTTAATTATCTCGATACTCTTTTTTTGTGTGTGCCAAATTTTAGGCTGGTTGAGACAAGTTTTAACCTGCTCATTTTGTCTCCTGAGAGCATTTCGCACATGTCCGATTGTGAATCGAAAGTCGCTGCTTTCAGAGCCGAGATTGAGAAGAGAAAGACAGAGAGAGAGAGACGCGCTGTTCCGCTGATGGAAGACGAGCAAGCGTCGCTCTCTCGCTAATGGATAAAGTTTATCAAAGAACATGCTTGTGCAATTAGGCATTCACTTACGGCTACAATAAGCAGCCGAGGGAAGGGGGAGGGAGGGGGATCGAACGAAGAACCCCCAAATCCGCGCGCGAGTAATGCCAAATTAAAATACACGCAAATTATTTTTATTGCTCGTCGACACTTATAGCGATCGCGCACTTTAATTTATTGTGGTAGCTGTTCCGGCCGTGCATTAGCGGCAGCGCGTACTCTCATTTGCATGTTTTATTATTTCTGTATGTGTGTGGCGGCGGCAGAGTGAGTGCGAGCTTTTATCAAATTCGAGAGGCAGATCAATAAAATTAAAAGCGTAGCACTTTCGGCAACAGTACGTGTGCGATCTTTCTCTCTCTCACTCCTTGGCCAAAATAAATGCGCGTGTATAAGCAGATTTAACACGAGATTATCGCTCGCTAGCCGCACAGCTCGCGCGTATATTGCATATGTGCGGTTTACACGTATGCGCATAAAAAGTTTTAATGTGGCAAGGCACAATCCTGCTCTTTTCACAGCGAGGAAGGATTTTGTAAAGCATTTTTATTCTAAAAAAAATTTGAAATAAAATTGTTATGTGAAATAATTGTTGATTTAATTAATTTATAATAAAAATCGCCAATAAATAGAATATCAAAGTAAAACATTTCATCTCGCGATTTTTTTTTCTTTTTTTACTTTTGGGAAAGGTTTTCTGATCTTCAAATTGATCTCTTTAAAAAAATTCAACACAAAGGAATGACAAAATTTTATTTCTTCCTGAATTTAAAATTCCCCTAATTGTGACGGAGAAAGTTGAAATTTTCAAACAAACAAAAAATTGCAATAACTTAAAACTCCCTTTCAGAATTTATGGAATCGGGTAAAAATTTTGCTGCTTACCTAGTTTTAGTGTGAAGGTCGGTGGGTTTCGCAGTTTGCAGGGAGGAATAAGTGCCAATCTGCGCGTTGGGACGATTCTGCAACAAAGAAGGTGGGCGGAATTAGCACGGGTGCCACTGACACTTGGGCCTAATTGGCCCGTCTCGGGGCCTGCAGACTCCCCCTGCGCCGCAGATAGCAGCAGTTATGACTATTAAAGCGAGAAAGAGATCGCTCTTGTTATAAAAATAGACGCGCGGCAGCCAAAGAGTCAAATTAAGCCTCCTACTCACGGCCATATTTCATTTTCCCACTTCGCATACGCCGCGCTGCTCCTCTTTCTTTTCTCTCTCTGGTCTAATATAATTGGATGCAGGCAGGAAGAAACACATTTTTTTCCAAACTTATTCTCATTAAATCGAGAGAAACGAGGAATAAATCCATTCTTTGGGCCATTTGCATGCGTGATGTTTATTAGCATGAAAGTGGCAAAGTGCAATAAATAACATCAATATTTCATGCATGCTCTAATTGCATTTTAAGCATTTTATTGCCTTTATTACAAACTAGCTCTTGTGTCTCTCCCGTCGTGTTATGTTATTCCACCGTGCTATAAATTTATAATAAGTTTCGCTACATAGGGGAGTTGTAAATTACGGACATGCAGAGCGTAATTAGACCTTGCACCAAATTATGCCACCAAAACCAAGAGGAGTAGCAAGAGCCACAAATGTAGTACCCATTCAGCTACACGCGTTGCAAAGAAAATGCATTTTAAAGGACAATCCGTTTTTTTTTTTTAATTCTGACAATTGCCAAAAATTAATATAATCCAAACAAATTTGTCACCTTTCACATTCATCAGATCAAAAAATTCAGCTGGTTCACAGATTTTTATTCTGTCCCATTTTTAACTTTTAAACTGTAAAAATATTATCCCGCGCATCTTCAGCAGTTTCTATACTACTTTCAGAAATAATTTTATGCAACACAGTTCACCGAAGCTTTAAATCAATCCAAAGATCGCAATATTTTTGCAAGTTTAAAAATCACAAAAACCTGGCAGATTCGACGTGAGCGATTGTCCGTCGTAAAAGCATTTCGCAAATGGACGGAAAACAGGAACGTGTAAATGCGTGGCAGCAGTTTCGTTTTATTCCTCCTTCGCGGATGTGAAGAAACTCGGTCGGCGGCGGCTTTTTGCAAACCTCTTGAGAGGGAGGCAAGGGTAAAAACGAGTGTGAGTGCACGACGGTGTACACTGACTGAAAGCAAACCCCTTGTGTTTGCGGGCCGGGCAGATTTTTCGTTCTCCCTCTTGTTCTCTCCTCTCTTTTTTTTATAAAGAGACCACTTAGAACAAATCTTAAATCCCATCCAGCACCGCCGCCTCTGCAGCCACCAGGCTTCTTCTTTTCGCCCTCTATTAACCCCTTACTTGAGTCGAGCCGGCGTACACAAATAAATGCACGCGAATTACACACCTGTGACTTCATCATCAATGGTGAAAAAGAAAAAAAAATTGTGGTATGCATTTCGTCGTCCCTTTTTGCAAATACTTGAAATAAGTATACGAAGTGTTTCCTTTAATAGATTTAAAAATTATTAAATATATGAAGAACTGTTTAAAAAATGCAGATCTCCAGTAAAGATAAAATTCATTTTTATTAATTTATATATTATTTATTCTCCAATCATTATTGCAAATTTTCACATCAACTTGCACAAAAGGAAAAAATGTGGAAAAAACTATTGACTATTTTTAAGAATGAACTAGTCTGGGAAGTTAGAATCAAAATTAATTTAATAATAACTTTCCTGCGGGGAAAGAACCTAACAACACGTTACACTGAAAGAATTAAAACTTTGAAGTGTTATTGATAATTTTTTCCAAACGTTTTTCAGATTAATATTAATTAAAAAAATCCTTGTGAAGTATTTTCTTTCCCACAGCTCTCTTTGTGTTTGCAAGTTCTCGTTTTCTTCAACAAACAACAGCGCGCAGATAGCGGCGCAAAGTTTTGAGGAAACTGCGCGATGCTTAATTATTTCCCCGGATAGAAGTGGTGGCGCCAACACGGCTGCATTTATATTAAAATTGTGTAATCAAGAGAGGTCTTTTTGTCTCTGGTTATTTGCAGTCTAATGATGTTTACTCCGCAATCCGCCTGCTCTTCAAAGCGAGTGGCTGCTGTTATCGTTAAAGAGACAAAATTAATAATTAAAAGGCGCCGTGAAAAGAAGTCATTTATCTCCTGGCATTCATATCCCTAGCACAACACGCGCCTGGCTCGTTTAAAACATAAATGAGGACGAGCGAGAGAGATGGATGGAAAACCACTTAGATTTTTAAAATGTTTATATCAAAAGAATAAAAAAGCTATCAAAAAAAGTGTTAAGAGAGACACTCTCCTAAGTTGCCTCTGTGATGACGACGCTTCTGCTCAAAAAGCTTTCAGCCAGAAAGGTGCTACCCGTGGCCGGCGCAGCCACTGCATTAGCTAATAGATTTGTCTCTTAATTTTTATCCAAATACACGCACGCTACTTTTAAAAGCGGCCCACACGTGCGTTAATGCGAAAGAGAGTGGCCGCGAGTGACTCATTTAGAAAAAAATATAGACATTATATACCTCGGTCAGCACAACTCCTTTTTCTACATCAGTGTATTATCATAATTCCTATTAAAGAAGCAGACAATTCTGTTTATTTAATAATTGTTTGGTTCTTGTGAATTTACGAATTTTTGAATAAACTTTTCGGAAGAAAAAAAAATTTAAACTTCTGTTTAGTTTCAGTTGGCTTTGCCTCTTGTCAAGGCAATTCCAAAGCTTTTTTTAAATATATACTTTTGGATCTAAATTAATGTTTCTGTTGTGCGGGTTGCAGTCAACTACTCAAAACTTCAATTATTCAATCAATTTATAAAAAAAGCATTTTTTTTTTCATCCACAATTTTAAATTTTAATACACATAATGTGGCTTCCAATCGAATTTTTGCATATTTGAAAGTTCAAAATATCTTAATCCAATTAATTTTGCAAAAGGATTATTTAAACTTTCATAAAGATTCAGCAAGAATTGAAAGTTTTCCAATTTAAAACTTTTCGAAATGAGAATTAATCAGAGCGATTACTGTAATTCATTATTATAGGAGCTGATCAGAATCGGATTGAACGAGCAACGATTTTGTGATCAGAAAGAGCGAGCCAGCTTTTAATTACGTTTCAAGTTTGAATTGGGCGCCGCAACAAAGGGCCTTTTGCTAATTAAGCAAAGCTGTCTAATTCAGCGTTCATTAGGGCTACAAAGCTGCAGGCTGGGCGAGTTGGGAGAGCGAGTTGTCCCTAATTAAAAGTTTTATTTCCAGTTATTACGTTTCTATTCCGGCGTCATATCGTAACAAATAAGCAGCTGCTGCCAGGCTGGATGCTGTGTGTGTGCCTCTAATTGCTCGTTATAACTGAAAAAAAAGTATAGGTCTCTCTGTGCAGAGAGCTAACTGGGCTGCTGCGTTATAAAGTCAGTGCATTCATGGCCTGGCGATTACGGACCAGAGTTAAAAAAAAGAGGAGAGAAGAAGAAGAGCAGGCAGGAGCCGCAATCTGAGCTAATGAGCAAGATTTAGAGGACTCGGAGGAGCTCCCTCTCTCTCTCCGGCCAGTTGACGCAGTAACGAGTCTTTCATCTGTTGATTTCTATCACATTTTAATAACCAATTATTGTAGAGAGAAAGGAAGCGCGCAGAATCACCTGTCAGCCGACGCTCCTCGTTACAATTGTCGGGTTATTTGTGGCCCTGGAAAATAACAAGTCAGCTGGAGAGGGAGAGAGAGAGAGAGATGGCCCGCCGATTTGTAAAATCTCTTCTCTCTGCTCGTTACATTTTTGCCAGCTGCCCATTTTCATATTAATCCGTCGTTTCAATGGTGGCTGATTTCTATAAATATCCATTTTTGTTTTCTGCAATACAAGCCTAACTAAGAGATAAACTCTCTCAACTTCCAGTAAATTATACAAAAATGCCTAGTTTCAGTAGTATCAACTAAATTAATGGTATAAAAAATGGCCCATAAAAAATTAAATTTAAATTACTGAATTTTGCTTAAATTGAACAATTATAAAATCCATTTATTTCTTAAATTTGCATTTTATTTTAAAATTAACTTTTGCCGCAAAGAGCGTAACTATATGCTAATTGCATCTTAGCGGATGTGGTGCCGCCTTCTCTGGCGAAATATATTTATCAAAGGCGGTCGCTTTTTATTGCTCAGCACATGTACAGAGAGAAGCATTACGCAAACTTATTTTTTGCCGCGACCGGATATGCAATATTATTGTGCGTTTAGACGCATTTGTGATAACAAAATGGCCAAAAAAAATGACAAAGTTCACCTGCTGCCTGTTTTGCTTCCGTTTTAATGCTTATTTGTTGCGCACCTTTTTTATAATAATGAATCAGGACGCGCAATTATAAAGCATTGTGTAATAAGACTTTTTCTCGCTCGACGACACAATTAATATTAATTAAACTGCATACGTGTACGCGTACAGAGAGTGAAGACACAAGCACAAACAATGGAAATTTTAGGTAAATAAATTGCAACTAAGACCAGAACCCTCTTCAAATGAGGCTCTAACAGAAACAGTTTCCAACAGTCCAACAGGTTAAAGATAACAGCTCAAAACGCTTAATTTGCAGGAAAATTTTGTGCATCAGGATAGATGTTCTTCAAATTTTGAATGTTTTTTTGAATTTTACGCAGTTTGCTCTTTTTGATAATTTCTAATTCTCAAAATTGGCTATCGGTCAAATGAAAGCTGTGAGGCCACAATATAGGAAGGCCCTGATTACCTGTTATCAGAATCGTAAGCTCCACATGCATATACAATTGCCGCGCTTCCTCGTACGCTAATTAAATTCATAATTAAACGAATTCTCATTATCCAGCGGTGCATAATTCGTGCAATGATTTCCTGTTTGCAAACCAGAGAGAAAAATTCACGCAACCTTGGCCATGAGACGTTTTCCGAGAAGCAGCATCCATAGGGGCTCAGTGACTTGTTTTGCTACCTGCATATCCGCCGAAAACATTTAT